GTTCTGGCCTCGTAGCAATATGGCTTGAGCCAAAACCCTAAACCCGAAACCCTAAACCCACTATGGCTCATATCAGGTACCAACTTGCTGCGCTCCCAGACTTTGTCTGCCACCACGCTTGGTGAAAACGGCTACAACAGACTGAAGTATATAGGGAGTGTATAAGGATGACATAGGGGTCATACAGGGATTATATAAGGGTTTATACAGGGGTTATATGGGGGTTATACAACATGTAGGAGAATGGCAAAGAAAATGGAAACTGCTATGCACCGAAGCAAGGACAATCTTCGAGTACCACGACCCTTTCCCTTGCATGCTGAGACCATGGCTCGGTCAGAGACCACGGCGAGTGGCTTATCCTTGGAAACCATGGTTCAATGCGTAATGTCTAGGGTTTGGGTGGCACAGTTTAAGGCGTTGGGTTTAAGATCTGACTTGCAGGATTTAGGAAGTTTACAGGCATGTTCAGGGCCTATGCTTGCCAAATGGCTACTACGGCGGCCTGAGAAATCAGAATGGCATTGTGGGCACCATGGTTCATGCCCTAGGATTTGAATCTACTGACAATTCTGCGAAAGTTTACGTAGATATTTGATGCCAATAGGGAACAGCGGGCATACAACTTAGGATTTGAAAGCGGTGGACCACTTCCCCATCAATCACCACAGCCCACCTGGCGGGAAATGGCGATTTCTACAAATAGGGGGACACCTATATAGAAACAAAATACCATAATCCTTATTATGAGGACCTCAAAAAGGTACCCTTAATTTTGGGAAACCCCCAAATGCGGGTTTCCAAACTTTAAGGATACTGGGGGGGGGGTCCCCATAGTGGGATGCAAATACATTGGGGTCTATAAGGGGTGAGATTGTAACACATTGAGTTTATGTCGGGGGCCTCATGTTGTGGAAACTATGAGATCTTCTCACCTAGTACCAAGACATGGCAAACTGGGAACGCTCTCTTAAAGTTTTGCTGCCAAGTGGCAGGCTCCTCCCCTAACAAAACCCGCCCCAAACCCCCTAACAACATGATTATTCAATGTCGCTATACTGGGGGGTTATTTACTATTAGGGGCGGGGAGTTATTAGGGAAGGGATTATCATTTAGGGAAGGGATTATCATTCAGAGCGCCCACCCGCATGATGTAAGACTGTCTCTTGGACACTGTGAGCACGTTGTCGAAGCTTGGACTGTAAACACTTACCCTTGCCCTACGTAAACTCGAAACAATGAAACCCTTTAGTTTGAAAGAGGTCCTTTTGGGCCCCCTTAAAATGAGAAGAGGATAGAACAGGAGAGTTTGCTTGTAAGGCTTGACCTGCTGATTGAAATTCCTTGGGAATGAGAGGCTCAAACATTGCTTCCTGAGTTACCCCTTACGGACCTTGTGTGAGAAGACCTCTCTTCACATATATGGCATTTTGGGAAAACCGCGAGAATAGTGGGATTTTGTCAAGGTCACTAGTTTTGGAAACTGCCTATGAAAACCCAAGTCCTAGGCTGCTCTTAAAATCGCAAACAAAAGGAGAGCTGATGCAGAAACCAGATTTGCTCACGAAGGCTGCTCTTGAGCAGCGTAAACCTACCTAAACCTCAAACCCCAACATGGGTGGTTGTCAAAATTATGGTCCCTTTTTGGGTACCCTAAATACTAGGTGCCGTATTATAATAAGGACCCAAAAAGAGCCCATAATTTTGACAACCACCCACATGTAGGAGAGCTGGTTCTGAGACCTGATTTGCTTGCTAAATTTATTAGGAATCTAGAGTTTTCAACATTGTTTCCTGAGTTACCCCCTACAGACCTTGCATGAGAAAGCTCTCCCCTAATATTCATGGCATTCGGGAAAGCCTTTGGAATAATGGCAAGGCACTCCGGAGTCATTAGTTTTGAGCCTCTGTATAAGGACTTAATAAGGTTTAGGGTTTAGGGTTAACTAATTTTACTCCCAATGCCATTTTGAAGTCCCCTTGCTCCATGGTTGTTTCACTCTTGTTCTTCCTCGCTGCTTTACTCTTTCTCCTTCTTCAATGACTGTTGCTTCGTCTTGCTCTTACTTCTCTGGCGCCTTCTTCTTTTACTCTTACAGCCTACTCCTACTCTGCTCTCTACGTTGTCCCCCTACTCTGCTTAACTGGTGTTTAACATAACATACTTTTCCATTTAGGATCAGTATTTCTTATTCTACTAATACACCCCGCGGAGAACCCCAGAACAAACCCTGAAAACACTACCGTCCTGGCCAAATGGTTCTGCAGGGGCTCCATGTTAGTTTGGGTAGGTAGAGGATAATAAAATTTGAGAACTACGGACGTGGAGATGTTCACGCAACTTGGCGCAAATCCTGCTTCCTAAGCCCTAGTCTTAAATGCAGTTCTTGCTACGACTTACGGGAAAAAAGCTATGCTTGCAACAGCTTGAACTTTACCAGGGGCAAGTAATGATGATTAATAATGACTACATAAAATTGCTTGGAACTCCACACGTCATGTGGATCTGGCCTTGCAGGGTTAAAGATTCTGGTGCACAAGCGCTACGCTTCAGGGCACTGCAACCAAACTTGCTACTCGCAATGTTGGGCAAGGGTGCGCCAATGTTACATTGCCAGCTCGAACGTTTAACAAGTCATGCCTGGCGGCTTACTCCTTCAAACCTTACGAAACAGAACGGGGCGCGTCACCATGAACTATGAGTGAAAGGCTGACCAGATCCCTGTGTAGTTGTTGCATGTTGGTGGGAGAAGCCCGCTGCAGAACTCGCGCACAGAAACCCGCTGCAGAACTCGCGCATAGGACAAACAAGTTCACACGCAAAGGCCGCAGCACCTAAACCCTGCAACGCTTGGGAAGAAGCTTACGGACTATACCATCAAGCAAGGCACGGTCGGGCATTTAGGATGTCGTGCGTCCCCCGGGGGAACTTGGGCACGTACGGGGGGCTATCAAATCCGCAGCAGTCCATCTTAAGAAGTATGTAATATAAGGTTGTGTTTTGACATATGCACTTTCGACGTGTTGCCTAGTAGAACTTGTGAATGTTCAGCACACTTTGGAAATTGCACCTTCATTGGGAATATCCCGAACTCGAAGACTTTGCTACTGTGGGATAGACTGAAGCTTTGCCAAGGTCAGGCCATATCATATCATCAATACTTGCACTCGGGCACCGGCCACATCAAATATTCCAAGCGCACCACTCAGACTGCGTCTGAAAGCAAGCGATACCCAAATTCAATGGTGTGTCATAGTCATATTCTACCTACACAAACAATATCCACAGGAAGGCCTCAAGCGACTGAGTATGAACTATTATATTCTTTCTCGGCATCCTGATGTGCCCCGAATCAGGACAGAAGTACATATATGCAAAGCATAAGGTGGAAGCAGCATCCGACCGTGAGCCATGCAGGATTTGATGAGATCAGCACGTTGCACTTCGCGCAGAAATTTTCAATACAGCGTGCCCGCAGAAGAAGACCCGGAAACGAATGCCCAAGAAAAATGTAACCCCAATATAAACCCAATATAATCCCAATATAACCCCAATATAACCCCAATATAACCCCACTATAATCCCAATATAACCCCAATATAGCCCATGCCGCCCCCCCCCCTCCCTTCTGAACTTTTCTTCCCATGAGCGGGACGGAGCCCCCGACGAACAATAGTGAACAACATGTGAAGACTTGGGCTTAGGGTTTAGGGTTTAGGATAAAACACACTTCGTCAGACGAGGTAAAGCAGCTACAAAAAGTGTATAGCATTACCTCGATAGGCCGAAGCCTGGCCGGCCTTCAATTGAAAGGCAAATGTCTCAACATCGTTTGATCTTTGGCTTGTCGCAAATGTTCTATATTGGCTGCATCAAAAACGACCACTGGCCCATTGAAATCCCCTCTGAACTAGGCAGACATATTACGAAGCACTTGTATTACCTGTAGCCGTAAGTATAAGAGACGACAGGATAGGATATTACCAGGTTGTAACTTTAATCCTTCCCTGTCTAGCTTCTGAAGCTCGTATGTCCCTTGCTGGTGATAAATACTGCGACGCGCAGAGCTTCGCTTGGCCTTGACGGCTCCATCCCACCCGCCGTAGGGCAGCCTGTGAGAATGATATACTTGACTCACATACTACCCTGGATATCAGAAAATATGCAGCAGTCCTCCTGCTTGGTTGCACAACAGCTCTCAAAATTGACCCCTGTGCAATGCTTTGTAGGGAGCCCCCCAATCCATAATCCTCTTGTTACGCTCGTAGGGCCTGCGTCATCCTTGTAGAGCTGCAGGTTCCACTCTTGAATGATGAAAGGTGTCATCAGTTGGACCCTTGTGGCCCTTGTGATTGAATTTTGGTCTAGGACCCCAATACGGACCCCCAAAAAACAAAATCCTTATACGGCACCCGGTTTAGGGGTGTAGGGTTTAGGATTCAGGTTTAGGGTTTAGGATTTAAGGTTTAGGGGTTAGGGTTAATCTTAACTATTGCATGCATACCCAGAATCTATTGTAAAGGTCGTCCACTTACTGAGCTAGTCAGTTCTAAAAGGACCCCAATAACCAACAACAATCCTCTAGCCCCAAACACCAAAGCCAAAGCCATACACCTGAACTCCAAGCCCTTTATCCACACGAGTTTACTTCGTGGGGGTTAGAAGGGAATAAGGGAATGAATTATACAGGAGTCATATAGGGATTCCATTCCTGATTCCCTACTAGGCACCAGTAAATTTAAAGTCTCCGACTTGCACCGCGCAGTCATGCCAGCTGATGTGTTACAGCGAGCTCATTCCTCTTCGACTAAGCAGTCCCTCTAAATTTAGGGGTTAGTGTTCAAGTAACCTGAACCCACAACCCTCAAGCCACAAAAGCGGCCAGTCTCGTTGCCCATGCAGAAGGTTGGCTCCTTGCCAGTTTGCGCCATCGCTTCCACGACCATCTCAACATCCTTCCGGGTGGGGTTTAGTAAAAGGCGGAATGTTTAGAATTCTCGTCTCTGGGAGTAGGATTTAAGGGCTTAGGGCTTAGGATTTGGGATTTTGGAGGTTATTGAGTTTAGGGTGAGGATTCAGAAAATAGTTGCTTCACCCCCCAGTCCGCACTACAATGCTCTCCAAGGCTGCCTGAGAGTACCCACTTACTACCGCCTTCTCTGACTCAGCCTCCTTGGGTTTAGGGTTTAGGGTTTAGAGCTTCGGGCTAAGGACCTGGAAGCCCAGTTGCCGTAACCGCGAACAGCATCTCGAAGCCCAGAAGAACAACCTTCTCCGCCCCAACAATGACATGAGCTATAGCCTAAACTCCTAGTATCCCCCTAGAAAACCCTATGATGGTCCCCTATATACTTCCCTATATAACCCCCTGTAAGGAGTTTAGACATGGTTCACATGAATACATGTACAGTCATTGATAACAATGGACGACAATGGAAGTAATTGCCAAAGCATATAAGAAACAATTAAGAATGATAAATGTGTGTATGTATTTGTGTATGTATGTATACGCATTCTCCAGACAAGTTCTATACAGAGAAAGGGAATGGTAATCATAGGCGATTAATCTCAGGCCCCGACTAGCCTGAATGGTGCGAAGTTTCGCCGAAATTATTCAGATCCCCCGCCCTCCCTGATTTTTTGGGGCTGAGTTGTACGAAGTCGCGCGGCCCACAATAGTTTCTGTGATTAACAAAGCAGGATAGAATAGACCATGGATAGGTTTCGTCTAACCTGTCAGCCACAGGCAGAAATTAGTTAGGGTCCTAATCTAAGAAGCTGCCCTAAGACCTTTAAAGGTAGAATCCACTGTAGACTTTGTTTGGGGTGCCCCCCCTCCACTAAAGAGGGTCCCATTTTCCTCTTGGTGGGTGTACTACACTCATCAGGCGCCCCCACACTAGGGCCAACTGGGGCAAGGGATGGGGCGGCTACTTGAAGATTAGGTAGAGTATGTTGTTGTAACTAGGCTGCTTAACTGAAGTTCGATTGGGGCACCCATAAACCCTAAACCCTAACTTCTGCAATGGCATTAAGAATATCAAATCACATTCGTAGCGTTTGCAACTGTGATAATATGGTGGGCGCGCAAAGATTACAAAATGATACTGCGGCAAAGCCTTCAACTCTTCGCATTGCAAGCAGAAATGGTCCTACCAAAAGTCCGCGCTGCTTCAAATTGTAACTACTCAAAAGCCTGAACCCCAAACCCTAAGTTCTCACCACTGCACTGTTCCTCAATGGTGTAGCCCATGTCAAACTGCATGGTCATGAGGTTCTCCTCTATGGCCTCGCTTCATGGGTTTAGCGTAAAGGCCTTAGGGGCTCAGGGTTCCGGAGCGGCGCCGGGCTCTGCCTTTGGGTGGTCCCCACGCACCACACACCCGTGCCCACGATGGGGGAAATGCCCCCGCTCTTCGACAACTCTCCGCACACACTCGGAAACAAACTGCTGTATACCCTCCCCCTCAACCCTATAGTCCCCCTTTAGTAGATAAAATATGGCTTTGGGTATACTAGAATAAGATCCCCATATATTCTATATTCTACCTATTTAAGGGGGACTATAAACCCAATATATACCCTACTATAATATAGTAGTTTCCATTTTCTTCTCCATTATCCTTATATAACCCCAATATATAGCCTATTATAATATAGTAGTCTCCATTTTCCACAGGCCCTGGCCCTAGGCACGGCCAGGTCATGGTCAGCTGACAGGAAGGGCTCTCGCCCCATCGACTCGCGAAACACCTGTTGCGGGTTTAGGGCTTTGGGGGCTGACCTATGCCTCCCCGAAAATAGCATGGATAGGGTTTAGGGTTTAGGGACCAAAAATGAACCTCTTTCTATTGCTATTGGGTTCCAGTTTAGACTGGGGGGAGTGTGATTGCGATTCATGGGTTTTTAAATCACTCCCTGTCCCTTCTGCATGAACCCGAATTCCGTTAAAGGCGGGGAGGTCTGTCCCATCTGACGTCACCTCATCAAAGGTCCTTTTTATCAACAATTCCTTCTCTATGCTGCGTCCACTCAGACTGCTCAAACCGGTCATTAGTAAGTAAACCAGAAACTCGAGGGACAAGTATGCATTACTATTATTATACTACTAATATTCAGACTAATATTACTACTGTCGATACGACTATCTATGATCATTGCTATTACTTTCATTACTATTGTTATTCTTATTCTTAGGAGTCCATCACCTTCTGCTGGAGCACCACTCGCCCTTGACAGCTGTCTTGAACAGTCCCATTCCCACTGGCAGGCGGGCTGTTGACTGCAACACTGCCCGCTCTCGGCATCATAAGGTAGCTCCAAGTAGAGGGGGGGCAACATGCACTCTGAAATATGAGAACTTTTTCCATTGGGGACCCCCGGACCCCCAAAAGGGGACGCCTCATTCATGGCAACCCCCTTAGTTTCAGCGCGTCACAACTAATCCATCTGGTGCGCCAGGAACGGGCATTGCAAGGGCAACTAGGGGGATGTTGAGTACCTATGATTTTCTCACGCTTTGAGTTGTTTTTATAAAAACAACTCAAAGCAGCCGGGACAAATTTCCGGGTCCTGTAGAGTTCATAGAGGCACCTACGACCTGAATCGAAGAAGAAGCCTGTATGGAGATTTCCCAGGTGATGTATAAGAATTATATAGGGATTATATAGGGATTATATAGGGATGATATAGGGATTATATAGGGATTATATAAGAATTATATAGGGTTGGGGGTGTCCGAAGGCCGGGCTTGGGTTGCGCCAACCACGAATGGAGAAAGAAATTGAAAACTGTGGTATAAAGGCGTTTGCATCACCTGGGAAATCTCTATACCCTAAACCCTAAACCCTAAACCCTAAACCCAGGGATGAGGGTTGGGGACTGTCCAGAGGGGAGGTTCCTGAAAAATTAGGGTTTAGGGTTTAGGGTTTAGGGTTTAGGGATTTTGTCGGTTCTAATAGCAAGGATTACAGTATTTTGGGGTCTGTATTGTGTCCCGTTATTCTGGGCAACTACCATATGAGCTATAGTCTAAACTCCTAGTATCCCCCTTAATATACCTATAGTAGTCCCCTATATAATACCCTATATACTCCCTCTTTGAGGAGTTTAGACTATGGCTCATATGGTGTCTAAAGATTCCTTAGCCGTTGGGTGAACCAAAATCGCCTCATCAGCAATTCAGGGCTCCCCTCAAGGCATCCAGGGCGTCCGCGGCTTAGAGTTTTAGGGTTTAGGGTTTGGCGTCCCAAAAAACAGCAAGGGGGGCATTGGGGGAACAAGCCACAAGTGGACTTATAACCTATGCATAGTTGGGATTACCCCTGCAAACAGCTTCCAACCCCTGAACTCTAAAACCCCAAGACAGCATTAAACCCTGAAACCCTCAACCTCTTGGATCTACTTCCTACAATGGGACAGAGCTAGAGGTAGAGGTTGACTGTGAGGCCTTGTTCCAGTCACCATACGGCTTCTTGGCTGCCATCCTGGGATACGCGTTGAGGGTCTGGGGGCTAGTGCGAAGGAATCCCTGAGAGAGCTGACAAAGCTGCTCGGTATATCTGTCTATCTATCTATCTATCTATCTATCTATGTGCCTGTGTATACATAGATAAATATGTACTTCTATACATGTGTATAGATATATATATATATATAAACAGTATTCCTTTTTAGGGTTTTTGACTGTCAGGGCTTAGGGTTCAGGGCTTGGGGCTTGGAACTCTCGGGGCTGGACGTTCCATGGCACTTGCCTTGTAACCTACAACCGTGGACCACCGCAAGCCTTATGGGACCCTAAGCCTAAAACCTTGGGTACTGCACCCAAAGTAACAGTTGGGAAAGAATTCTACCATAAGTAATCGCCCTTCATATGACGCCTATCATAGATTGCTACAGGGTGGGGGTAGTACCCAAACCAGACCCTAAACCCTGGGATGATATTGCAAGGCCTTGGCCATGTCTTCTTGCCGGCATTACATTCTTTGCTGTCTGCTAAAGGACCCAGTTCTTGCACGCCTTTGAGCCCTAGTCCTAAAGCCCTACATCCCAAACCTCAAGTCCTAAACCCTTAACCGCCCTAATCCCTTTGCCAAAGCCATAGCCAATGCACACCACAATCCACCCACGCACCGAAAGGCGCGAAGAGAAATGGAAGACCCGACCCTTAACCCATGCGCTGCCATACTAAGGACCCAAAAGGGACCATAAATTCACCACCCAACACATATCCCCCTACACCCGCGTATCTCCTTGTAGCCCAACCGAAAACACACTCTAATCCCCAAACACATAGTCCCACATGCGTAAACCCCCAAGCTCATAAATCCACGGTGGACTGCTACATCATGATCCAGCAGGGCGCACTTTCCGCAGCACGGCAAGGGAATTACGTATATTGTGGCACAGAAGCTCCAGTAGCATGTTCACTTGGACATTGTAGGAGAGCTGTTGCTGTGAGCTACCTCGTTGCAAAACTGTGTAAGCTCTGTGCAAAGTCGCCCTCTGAAGTTTGAAAGGATCATCGGAACTTCGGCGCTAAGCCGCCAAACTGGCGCCCACATTGCAGATTCTTTCCCATTTAGCAGAAATTGGTAAAGCTGGCAATGTTGTATCCTCGCACTCCTTAGGTCAGTCCGCTGCATTATGCCGCTGAATTCACTACTTACATACATACTGCATATGAACTATAATCTAAACTCCTCAAAGGGGGTTTTCCAGGGGAGGATGTAGGGGACCACTATAGGGGTTATAAAGGGGGATACTATGGGTTTAGACTATAGCACATATGATGAAACTCTTCACTCTTCGTAGACCCTTCTACACTTTTAAACCGTACAAGACCAGCTACATCCATGTCATTGTCCATGCTATTTTCCATTGTCTTCTCTAAGAGCCCGTATAATTTACATGGTAAGCGATAGATGGCATCGCAGCTTGGCGACTTCTGCTTGATGTCATCATTCTCAATGAGCTCACCTGCACGTGAACATCTTCTTCTGGTCTCGCATACGGCGACTTCTGAAAGTTGAGGGTCCCTTTTGGGGAGTCCCTGTCATAAGGGTAGTTAGAGTGTTCAGGATTCTGTATCGATGTATCTATGGAACCTCCAGATAAGCTTTGGGACGTACCGTTAAGTGCTTTGGGAATGCACGGCTAAGAGTGTAGGCATCGCAGCGGCGGATTTCTGCCTTTAGCGAGAAAAATAACGCAATACACCTGACTACTGGATTGCTGCTGCGGAACTTAAATTAAGTTATCATGTTATGGGTATATAGTAAATACTGGAGGTTCGCTATTATAAAAAGTAGTTGAAATTCGTGAAAAGCAACCCAGTAAATTGCCTGCAGTTCCAGTGTTCCATGTCGTGTTCCATGTGATTCTCCATTCTCCCGCAGAACCTCAAATGCCTACTAATGATTTTGCCTTTCTCATCGTTATGTCACTGAATCATAAAATACGCTAAGACCTCGTTCTAACTAAACAGAACCTCGAACTAAGCCGGGTGCGAGGTAACCCAACCCCCCCCCCCCCATGCTGACCCTACAGCCTTCATAAATAATCCGTATATTTCCCCTATGTCATCCTTACACTCCCCTATACAATGCCTATGTATCCCTCATATACTGCCTATCACCTGAGCCTCAACCCTAAACCCTCATCCCTGGACCCTCATCCCTACACCCTAATCGCACATCCCTAAATCCAAATCCCTAGTCCCTAAACCCTGAACTGAACCATCATCCCCACGCTCTAATCCCTAAACCCTCATCCCACATCCCCAAACCCAAATCCCTAAGCCCTAAGCCCTCTATGTAAGCAGTCTACCCCCCAAAAAGCGCCAAGGCACCTGTGTGCAGATCAATTGCAACCATTTTCCCAGGTCCAAGGCGGCCCTTGGACTTGTAGATGCCCTTGGAGCCGCACAACTTACTGGTTCTTAGTAGGGGTTTAGGGTTTAGGGGAACTAGGGGAATATGACATACAGGGTTTATAGGGTTTAGGGCGCAGACGATAGATCACACCACCCCTATGCAGAGAAGTCGGTCTTGGGACTGCGGGACTTAGACTAGGCCGCCCAAATACTCAGGATACGTTTTCGGGTTGAGGGGCCTCAATATGTTGCCAACAACTGGGATGAAGAAAGAAAGGAATAGGATCCTATTTAGTGGCTTGGAGTTGCCAAATAAACCTTGGAAAGTGCCCAAACTCAAAACCCTGAGCACCCCAAAACCCCAAAGCCTGAAACCAAGAGCCCTACTACCCAGACCTTGGGACCTAAACCCTACCCTGGGACCTGGACGCTTAAAACCTGAATCCTAGGTCCTAGATTTCAAGCCAGCCTTGAAGCTATGCAGCCACTCAAGCTGAAACTCAATTAGCTTCTGAGGCCTTTGAATACGACTATTAAATATACTATCAGTGGCGTCCCCCCTAGGGACTACACTGTACTTAAAATGGACTGTAATGGGAAAGGGGTGGGGGG